ATATTCCGTCGAATCGATCACGAAGTACAGTCGGATTAAAAACTAATAAACAGAATTTATTATTTTTTCGTGCTGTATTGTGTATACTTTTATACATATTTCATTAAAAATATGCTTTTTAAAAATTAATTTGCATTTCTTATCTGGCTATAAATTATTAATCCAAGTTTTTTATTTAAAAAAAATAGACGAAAAAGCGAGTTAATAAGAATAAAGTTATTCGTTACGCATTTATTAAGTACTCAGTTAAAAAAAATGAAAAAATAATTGCTATAATCAATTAGAATTTAGTTACTATATAAATGTTAAACAAGACAAGTCAAAAAGTGAAAATTCAATTCAATTCTTCTCAACACAACCTCACTTCAAAAAGTGTTAACAAGTCTATCTGAAACTATTGAAACGCTTTTAATAAATACACCAACCATAAAGAACAATGAAGAGACTGTTAATTTTCGCAATTCGACGTTGCATCCTACATGTATGTAGGTTGCTGAAATATCAGAAATGTACATCTAAATATCATCTCTAGTGCTGTTACTAATAAAGATTATATTTCTGTAGAAGGCGGGCTACTTCGTGACATTATTCCGTTTATATTAAGAGCTGAACTTTAAAATTCAATTGCCTATTTATCAGATACTTTCTATCTTGAAGAAGGGCTTTAGTCTGGGTCAGTGGTGGTACGTAACAATTGAAGTCGAACAGACAGATTTGGGTAAGATTTCTAGTATAAAACAGCCCTGGTGCCGCATGGTGGAAAGTAAATGTTAGGAAGGTCCATTATTTACGATAAGACAGTCCAGCAGTAATTTTAAAAACATTTAAATATAAGTTTGATTTAAATATAAGTTAATCTGATACCTACAGAGTTTTTAAAATTGATATCTCATCATTATCTTGATGCCCGAATCAAATTTTATGTGATTTTATTTGATGTTTGGGTTGGATTTAAGTCTACTGCGATACCATTTCTTTTTTTTTTCCGTGCGGAGATCCCCTCGGATACCACCTATCGGTGGCATGTCGGACTAGAACCGACTAAAACCGCACGCCGTCTCGGGTACTAATAGCCGGGGAACCAGGTATACCCTAGAAAGGAAGTCCCTGGTGTCCCACTGAACTTCGATTTTATAAGTGGAACGACTGACATCAGACCTCCACAACCCAAGCACTAGGCGATATCGAAATTCTGTAGAAGGACTGTAACCGTAACGATTGTCACAGGTGTTCGTATCGCAATGTGTAACTTTGAGAAATGCTTTGGATAGTTTCTATTATGACCGACCGCCTGCCTGAATCCAAGTCCCTCGGGTATGTAGTCGCTATAGACATACGAAGGGTAAATCAAGAAAAGGAAAACCTAAAGGCAAAGGAAGTTTAGGGTAAAGAATGCCGCAAGTTTTGGATAACTTTGGATGCGTACTCGTATGTTCGACTGGATTCGACTCGTATGTTCGTATTGGAGAGGCTAAGAATAGGAGGAGTATAGGCAAAGTACATCAAGAAATCACTTATAAAAAAAAAATGTATCAGTGGCAATAATATTACTATCGCATGTATAAATTGGTTTACTGATTTCAAAAGTATTGTAAGCACCTTTTACAAAAAAAATAAACAATATTAAAGTATGTTAGATAGACAACATATCCAACCTTAGATTTATTCAAAATAAAAATAAAATAAAAAAATTAGAGCTCAAATTGCACCGAGGCTATAAAATTTAAAGAAATTATATAATTAAAAACTGCCTGACCTCTTATTTTTAAACATTTATGAACTAATAAAAAAATAACTTGAGTGATACATATTGACCTCAAGGCACTATTTGCTGAATAAATATTTTAGTGAAACTGGTGATCAATCAAGTAGAGGACAAGGTTGCGATGATTCAATCGAAAATCAATTATTTTTTCGAATATTTATTTTTTTAGATGTATTTTTATATTAGCTTCTGCTCGCGGCTTCAGTCGCGTTTAATTAAAGTTTTTCCGGGATAAAAAGCAGCCTACGAGCTATTCAAGACTATTTGTAATCTCTGTCTCAAATTTTATTAAGATTTGTTCAACTTTACAAACCAAGATAAAGGCCCAAGTCACATCTTGTCTAGATGTTTCTTTTTAATGTTTATGTGTGTTCTAGAAATATTAGTGCAGACTATCCTTAATTTTGGTCTAAATAGGTCAATTTATATTATTCTAACATTGTACAAAAAATTTATAACACAACACTAAACAAACCTAAATTTAATGTAAGTGAGGTTATCGATGAACAGTGAGGTGACGTCATGAAGGCTGCGCGGGTCATGCGCGTGCGCAATTCGTTATTGTCTTTTGCATAACCACATGGACAACGATTAGAGGTTTGTGTTGCGTGTAGATGTAATAGTTTATAAGCCGCTTGTTTGTATTGTAGTTCAACTGAGATAATTAATTAATATCATCAGCTTTTTAGTAATTACTGCATTATATTTTATTTACCAGGAACTACCCTTGTCTCTCTTAATAATTTTGAAACAACTACTGGTTGCAAAAGTTTGATTGCTTTTGAAGGTTGATTGCTTTTAGCAATATGGCTACACTTAATTCTTTTAAGTAACGCCTGTTCTAGAATAAAAAGTAGCTTAGGTAAACTTTACCTATCGCACATATTTGTAACTTAGCTCAAATCTACACTAATATTATAAAGCTGAAGAATTTGTCGTTTTGTTTGAGCGCGCTAATCTAAGGACTACTGGGTCAAATTGGTTTTTTTTTAGTGTTGGATAGTCCATTCATCGAGAAAGGTTATAAGCTATATAACATTACGCTATGACCAATAGGAGACTAGCATCAATAAAAAATGTTACAAAAAAGGACAAAATTTATTTCTTTTCATAACTGCAGGCGAAGTTGTGCGGGTCAGCTAGTCCATATTAATGTGCATACATTCGAATGTAACCGTAATGATTGTACTTCTAACAAAACGATGCCATATGGCCAAAACAATCATCACAAAGGCACTCTCTCTACGCCTTTGGATTGTACAAGATTAATGTACAACATACAAATGGTTTAATGTACATCAGAAGATGCAAACGAATTACATTCAAGAGATTTCAAAGAGCACAATCGAACTCTGTATATTTTTGGATCAGAATTTCAAAATCAAGTGGTTTAATTTTAAGTGGCCTTCTTAAAGAAAATTTAAGAGGCCACTCAAATTAGGGATGCTCTTTGAATAAACAAGATGATATACAAAGAGTTTTAATTGATTGATGGTAGGTGTTCTGAAAGTGAATCAAGCTTTCGAAATTGAACTGATCAGAAGTGTATAGTATACCAAGTTAGATCGCTAACAACAAGAAGTTTGATTAAATAATGTATAAAAAGCGACTGTAAGTTTACGCTTCCAGGCCTCTGACTACGGCGCCGATAATAATGACATTTTTTTTATCAATGTATAGAAAAGAATATAACTTATCTACAGTTGAGAAAGGTATTGTTCACAAAGAATACCTGAATTGATTCATAAAGCTTAAATTATCTTTAGCCACGCTTTGGCATACAAGCGCCGGCTCGACCGAATTGATATACACAGCCTCACAAAAAAGACGGTAGTAAGGAAATTCCTTGTTTTATTTTACCGAATGATTGAGGTAACCAGAGGCCTTGCCCCCTCCGTAATTCTTGAAGAAGAAAGTGCTCAAAGGGCGTCGAAGCACTTAAGACTCTTGAGTAGTAGATGCTCATGGGCAGTGATTTTTACCATCAAGTGGCCCATCTACTCCTTTGTTCCTTATACCATAAAAAAGAGCAAATCCAGATATAATATAAAAGAGGCGGTAGCCTAGTGGGTAAGGCATTCGACTTGCAAGAGATCGTAGGTTCGAATTCTGACCAGTACACCACTGACGTGAACCCACTCCTAACACAAGCAATTTACCTAAGTTCGAGTAGTTAATGGGAATATTAGTCATTTCAATTTCTAGTAAACCTTTCATGAGTAAAAAAAAGTTTATACGCAAAAAACTATTGCCATCAAATTGCTATCCACTAGAATATTTTGACATATTTTTCAAATTGAGGTAGTCCAAATACGAGAACTAGCAGTTATTCGAATGGCTGCCATTTATTAGACGTCTACGGTAATTACTCCTCTTTCAGACTTCGTAATTTTATCATTAAAGAGACTATCAATGTGACGGGCGCCATCAGTTTACTGTCTCTGATACCGTGTTATTACGGCGGAAATAATTGTATGGGTTTAGTTCTCATACTTAAGTGGAGTATGAATAGAAAAGCTGTCTTTGATTATATAAATTTTGAAAACCGTTTCTGAATTTGGGTGGTGTCTGATATGTATCAGTAAGAAACATATTAAACACATTATTTTTGTCATGGATTATAGCTAAAGTGTATGTGTTTTGTGTTGTTTTGTTTTGAGACTTCAAGAACCGGCTTAAAGAGGGTGAGATCAGATGGCAGACATATTATCTTACATATTCTGGGAAGCATGTTTATGTTCTCGAAAGTTTTCAGAGCATGCTTTAAAATGAATATGCTGCAAAGTAAATTTGTAAAATAAAAGTAAGTCAAAATTTTATTCAGACATCATTTCGTGAGACAAAACTGCTTTAAGATTTCTTACCATCTTATTTTTCGAAACTGACAAAAAAAAAAACCTTTTTTAAAACCATTGTTTTACGGCAAATTTCATTTTTTGTTACTTGCAGTAACAAAAAATGAAATTTGTGAGAGAATCTAAGATACTCGTAACATACATACACGTTAGCAAATCCCAGTAACGAATAAATCTCTTCGACTACCTTAATTTTGAGATGAAACGTGTTGGATAGTCGTAAGACACGTTTAGCACTTTCGTATATCAGACATGATGATCCTACCTATTTTCCTAGTTTAGTAAAGACATCGTTGTCGCAAGTATTACACCGGTACTTGTTTGGAATTACAAGTACGTGAAGTGAGTTCAAAATTACATCAAGTTAATGCCATATCTACCTTTACTCTTCTAGGCAGCGATGACTCCGTCTCCACGTGCCTGTAATGTTCAGAAGATCGTTGAACTGACCCTCCCCGCACATCTTCTACTGAAGCCTTCTCCTCACCACGAGTCAACGTCGTCACCTTTCTTACAATCCTCGTGGTGATTCTTCGCTGTCCGCTGTCGTCTTTCTTCGAGATTTTGGTCGACTCTAAAGAAGAGCCTAGAACCTCGGTCGACATTCTCTTGTTCGTATGAATCGCCTGCAACTCTGACATTCCTAGCCCACCGGCTGACGTCGGCACTGCTACAGCGCCCTCTCCATCATATTCGAAATGAGTTTGGTTTCCATCGTACACTATACGTCCATTATAGCTTTCATCACGATGAGACCCAGATCGGTAGCTGGACGTTCTTTCTATTCCAGGATAATTTCCATCGTATACTGTTTCGTGTCTTGTTAATCCTTCTCTCAAACTTCTTGGCACTGAAGCCAAGTTCAAACTGGTCGTTATTGGAGACCCAACAGATGATGAAGAGGGCTTCTTTAAGCTTGATTTCAAAGGTTTTGAGTCGTCACTTTCTAGCGTCCCCTGAACAAAGAGGCGCTTACTGCTACCACCTTCTTTTACAAATCTGTACATCGACATGGTGACTTCGGTCAGGCCTTAGAGCCTTCGTGACGCATAATATTGTTCTCTGCAATGGAATACCCACTTATTACGTATTCGATACGCGTTGCGCATACGATTATTCACGTACCGGTGACAGCTTACGGTGTAAATTCTTAACACATTAAGGAAATCTATGTAAAGATAAGGTAAGATATTCTTATGTAATTTCGCGTAATGTTACGTAGGCAGTGTCAGTACTGACAACTATGTATTCGAAAACCGACATTGAATTTACAGATTGAAAGGAAGGAAGACCACGATCCGTAGTAAAATATTTGCAGTCCACCATTAATGGCTAAAAGCAGCAACCAACATCTAAGAAAGTTGAATGATAAATAGATGTTGAAACTAAAAGTTGTGGCGTGCTAAACTAGAGACGGATTAGGTGCGGCCTCCTTATATGGGGGGCATGGTCGACCGGAATGGTGGGTCCCTTCCGGTGAACACCACCAGGAAACTAAGGACAAGGTTTTAATTTAAAAGAGAATAACGTTGAAGAAGTTATATATAGACGAACACTTAAGCGTGTCAATTATAAAAGGGTTTCTTTATATTCAGGATGTTACGAGAATAACTCGGGACTGTTTTGAGGAATCACTTCGACTAATATCGAGGAAATGTATTTTAAACACACTGAAATGTGAGCTATTCAATGGTCTTGGTTAACTACCTTTCACCTAACCTATTACTATTATGTTTAAAGGTTACAATCGCTTGAGAGGAAATATCACGCGAACACACAGTATATAATCTATACTAATATTATAAAGCTAAAGAGTTTATTTGTTTGTTTGTTTGAACGCGCTAATCTCAGGAACTACTGGTCCGATTTGAAAAATTCTTTCAGTGTTAGATAGCCCATTTATCGAGGAAGGCTATAGGCTAAATATCATCACGCTAAGACCAATAGGAGCGGAGCACCAATGAAGAATGTTTCAAAAACGGAGAAAATTTATTACTATTGAGAGACGCAGACGAAGTTGCGCGGGTCAGCTAGTACTCTAATAAAACTGAACGATATACTATGTTAAAGATGAAATTATATTTGTTAAGAACGCAATATAACCAGATTGATTATAATACAATGAATAAAGGACGAAGTTTTGTTTATTAAGGTAAACCAAAAAGCCATGAATATTTATTAATTTACTTGTTATTTCTCGAATATCGTCATTGATACATATTATATTGGTTGGCATAAGGAATGTTATTGTCAAAGATACTACTAAACTTGACCTCAGTGGTTGAAACAAAACAATCTTTTACATAACTAGTTATGCTATAAATACGTGATTTTAAAGCAAAATATATTTTACTAAAAAGTATTTTTTTATGTAATACGGAGTTTTTGTAGTTTTTATTTACTTATGTACCTCCTCAACATCACTTGCATACCTGTACGAAATATATACAGTATAAGTCTATACAGTACTACACTTTCTATGTTTTATATATTTTTAAATAACACACTCGCAATTAATTAAAGTTTATGATCATTAACACGATACTAAAATGTGCGTCTTTCAGGCAATTTATAAAAATATCAAAGAGCGTGCATGCAGTTGTAAGGCCACTAAATATAGGAAATAATTAACTATTTTTAACGCGTTTCTTCCTTTTTAATGAACTTGAATGAACTTGTTTTATACAATCTAAAATAACCATAGAATTGAATGGTTTGATAGTTTGAAAATTTTAAAACAGACAGTGTTTGAACAACATATGAACAGCGACGAGTAGACAAAGTAGGTACTCGTAGTAGTTATTTCAGTAGATTTGACAGGCAAGATTTATTTAAATATAACAATAACATAAACAGTATGGTTTTACAAGAAACTTTGTTAAAATTGATAAAACTCGTCATAAGGACGAGTTTTATCAATTTTAACAAAGTTTCTTACCACGGTGGGCTAGGAACCATTACACGTGTAACAAAATTGTTTAATATGTTAATTGGTTTAACTAGTGTTACTAATTATAATGTCAAATAGCAATGGGAATTTATTGAATTTGATTTATGGTATCAAAGTAGGTGCGGTACGTGGGTTTAGGATTTTATGGTAGTAAACAAGTATATGGTGCCTACAGCTGTATTGTGTCCTGGTTAAATAAAATAGCACAGTCATATCCTTCCACATTATAAAATGAAGTTCCCCTGGACGCGTTTCTATGTCTGTATGAACGCGATAAACTCAAAAACTACCGAACAGATATTTATACGATTTGCACCAAAAGATAGTGTGCAGATTCCTGAGGAAGCTTTAGGTTTATAATTCTTGATTTCTTGGTTTTATTTAAATTAACTGAAATATAACGATGATTGTTGAAGAGGTCGCAAAAATCTTAGCTATGCTATATAAACCGGCCGAAAAAAGGATCACGGTTAATTTGATGATGAGGAGACTTCTGATACCTAATGGTGCTAATAGCTATTGTTTTGTTCATATCTAAATACGCGACTTACTTATACGTAGGAGAACGTACTTTCATTTAGAAAAAAAAACTTTCTTGAATAATACTCTCATTTATTAAAGAAAGGGTTTACCCAGAGATGACCGATAGTTTTGGATTCGACAGAGGTCTTTGAAGGAGCGAGGCGTGAGTAAAACCGTTTACTTCTGTAAATTACATTTAAATGTTACTACAATAACATATTTTCCATGAGATTGGAGTACAAAAACTAAAAAGAAACATGGAAAAAACCTCCGAACTATTGTTGAATATTTTGTCAACATAAAAATAATTTATTATGATCATGGTTTTGTTGGCAGCAGAAATTGGTGACGACAAGATAATGTATCTAACTGTTCTACTAATCAATGCACAACGTTATTGCAATTCTAGTCGATAGAATCAGTCGTGTTTATCATTATCCTTGCTGTATTAAGCTTGATCTTGAAATATTTTACATATAACGTAATATTATCTAAGATAGTCTGATCCACATTACAGCTTTTGAATATTTATATAATTATACAAACAGCACTAAATTTCATAAAATTCGAGTTTAAACCGCTACGGTAAGTAGGAATGTAAATTTAGACTATAAAGATAATTGAGTTTTTGGTTTCTTTTTTTAACTTGGCAATAAAAACTATTTTTTTTATTGAACTTGTTTGTTTCTATGCATATAGCAGTCTATATTCAATTATATTATGTGTGGGTTAAAATGTTCAATTTGGTGGAGGCGGTGTTAGGTTTCAATGGTGACACCTACGTGGTCAGACCTTGGACAACTCTATATGGAGACAGTATATATAATAATTGTCAGGTTCATTTTAATTAGACGTTCATAAATTCTTGCATAATGCATTTTTTATTTGTATTATCGCGTACTTGATAGAATAAAAAGTAATATTCGTTAAAAAGGAACATCTGAACGGAAATTTCGAATTCAAGTTAATTGACATAGTTCATATGACTAATATGAAAGTAGACGCCAAGGACTTCAGGTTAAGCAATGTTTAAACTCTTTATAATATAACATACACTTGTCTTATGTAAGTGAATTCCTGGTGATCGAAAATTAACGTTTCTTTTAAAAATCAAGTAATAATTTCAAATATCAGCTGAATTTGTCATTAAGTTTCCGTAACATGGCAAGCAGGCGACCATTCCCCTTTTATTAACTTTTTTAATGTATGCCATTTTTTTTAATGTTACCATTCAACAAATTCTGTCCATCTAAACTTTAAGTTTTCCAAATTTCATCTTTACTCGACTACGAAATTTTCGTGAAAATTTACTGCATTTTTTAAATCTTCTGGTAGTTTAATAGCCTGTGTTTCAAGTACAAATCGGCTCTCAATATAAATATCTAGTAAGTAAAAATACAAAGAATAAGTGTTTTTTAAATTAACTATATCTATTATTTATGTTGAAGCTGACAAAGATAACGCAGGTAGTAAACAGTCAGTAGTCACACATTGCTACTACTTACTACTGGACGTGTTCGAGATTGCAAACAGCTGATATATGTTTTGTTTTTAACATCTGCAAGACCGCTTGTAGGAATCCTATACTTGTCTGTCACATCTGCTTAAGAAGAAACGTAGATATGCCGTATTTCAACTAGCATTCTCATTTTTATTAATCTACTTCCATCTGAATTTATGTTATCCAATAATCTTTATATATTTTTTTTTTTTTTTTTTTATCTTTGTAGTGTAGGACGCCCACAGGCCAGGTGGAGTGACGATTTACGCAAGATGGCTGGCAGGAGCTGGATGCGAGAAGCCCAAAATCGATCTAAGTGGCGTGCAATGGGAGAGGCCTATGTCCAGCAGTGGACTGCGATAGGCTGATGATGAATAATCTTTACTTAAGTTCATTTACTCCAAAATCGTCTGCATTCGAGTCGAGCGTATCATGAGAATTCTAGTCTTTACGTATTATACATACTTAAATAGAACTTAAATGTATTTTTTATGAAAGTACATAGAGTTTTCTCTTAATCGAATTAATCTGGTAGAAATAGAAAAAAGACTGCTGATAAGGTACAACATAATATAGCATCTTTTAAATCATTGTGTTTCCTTTTTTCCTTTTTCATATTGATTGAATGTATGCTGTTTATCCTTTGTACAATTTTTATCATAATTTAAAAAATTAATCCATACTAATATTATAAATACGAAATTGTGTCTGTCTGTCTGTTTGTTACCTCGTCACGCTATAACCGCAAAATCGATTTAGATGAAATTTGGTATAGAGATAATCGGGAAAGGGGAATCATCCTTTAGGGGGGTGAAAAGAAAGGTGGAAGTTTGTATGGGGAATGAATAACTGCTGAACCGATGAAGATAGTTTGATTCTTGAGCAAGGACATAGGCTATTTTTCCCGCGATAACCGACATACACGCGATTCCTATTAATTTTGTTACATCTCTAGCGATCATCATTATGATGTTGAATACTATTATGTAGGAATGTAGAAGTTTTTTTTAGTTACTATGTATATTTACATTATTGTTTTT